GTCATCTAAAGATAGTAAGCAGTACCTTGTACCGTCCATGTTGATGTCACCCCCAACAGATGACGTCCTAAAGCTTCTCAACTCTGTAAACATTCCATCTCTTTTTTTAACATTTGCATCAGGTCGAGTGCCTCCTGGTCTATTCTCCCGACTTATTCTACTTTTCCTCCAATGGTCTGGCGAAGAATGGAACAGGGAAATGAGCCCACGGTTGTTTCGTAATTTTGCCTGGTTTCACATTCTTCCAGACCAAGGTATCTCCGTCATTTTTTGGTGCCATGCCTCAACTATCGAAGTCGTCATTTACAGCGGAGACAATGACAAGAAAAGAGCAGATATATCCCGTGCTGTTCACTGGAAATTGAGGTTTATACTTGAGTGCATGCGGAAAGAGTTCCACTGGCTCAACAACGTGAAGTACGATATGTGTGTCTGCTGTCCGGTCTGTTCTCAACCAGGGTCGGTAAAATGCCGCGGTCATGGCGTGCGTGGATGTGAATGTCTACACTACTTGTCAGAATCTGATTTGAGAAAGCGTCAACATTGCAACAGACCAGCACGCAACCTTCTTGGGGATTGCAGGATTCCGGTCAAGCAGTTTGAATGTTGGTTCTTATTTGGAGAAGAAGAGGAAGGTGCCGAAATGTCAACGAATCAGGTACTTTGCCAGTCTCATCCTCTTCCTTGGATGGATAATAAAAGACGCTAGTAATTTTTATGTTCAATGTCATTTTTTTTAAAGTGGTTTAAGGGCGGATTTAATTTGATTTTTTAGCAGCTGCAAGCTCTACGCGTAACAAGTCATGGAGGCTTCCTTAGTGCGAAAGGCATAGTTTCTATAGAAGGTAAAAGGTCCATATCTCTCATGTCATTATATCATAATAACAATGTCGTACTTAAAGAGAGAGCTGACAAGATCTCTTCTCGTATAATTTTAGAGAAATTTGCATACGTTTGTTTCTATTAAAAGAGAATTTCAACAAACTCAAAATTTTTGGGCGTAATCAAAATAAACTCTCTCTACTTAACTCTTTCTTGCTGCATTTAAATTCGTTTTTCGTTATTTCAATTCGTTCTAAATCATTTTCAAGGAACGAAACGGATAGATCTTGCGCTTCCTGAGAGTATCCAAACGTCCATCCAGTCCATTCCACTCAACTCAGAAAGTGGTGTGAAGGATATTGTGATTAAGTTTCGAGAATCTCTGCAGTTAGAACCAGCATCTTTCGACAGTCCGGAGCCTGAGACGAAAAAAATGATTCGTGGCCTTGCCTTGAGAGCTAAATCTGAGAAACGGGATGACTTGGTGAAACACTTACGAGAAATTACACCTGCTGGTACTACTGGTGAGTTTAAGAAGATGACATTTTCTTTTTTCGCACGGGGAGGGGGAATAGGTTTCTACACAAGCTTCCTCTCGATGCATTGTTAAAATAATGTCAACGCGTGCTTAATTTTATTGTGTAGCTGTATTTGTTGTTGCTGTTGGTGCGCTATTGATCTGCTTTAATGTATGTGTATTTTTGTTTTGGTTTTAGGTTTTCGAAAAAAAATTCCGCTGTATTAATCTTCTTTTAGTGTTTGTTTGTCTCTACAGGGCCGTTGTTGAATGAAGATATGTCAGTTGGTTGCATGCCATATAAACAATACGAGGATTTAACGTTCAGCCTCTCGGGTAAGGAACTAGGTTGGCGTCCGCACACCCATTTATTCATAAAATAGTTGTAACCTTTGTGTGAAGTCATAGGTTTTCGTCTCTCGACTCTGAAAAGGACTCTCGAAAAAACTCGGGCCTTGACAAGATTCGATTCTACATATGCGTTTTCAGATTATATTCCGGCTAGGTTGTTTCATAGCCAGCTAAACTTCGTCAGCTTTCGTCAAAACCCTTTCCAGAAGGATGAGCTGCCAATATCTAGACGAAATTTGGAGGATATCGGGCGCCAAGAAAATGCGAGCGATTAATGCCATTAGCCCATACGGGCAACAGTACAGTTCGGTTGTAACAAAATTTATAAAAGAGCATAATATATTTTTCCTCATAGGTGGAGACGAGTGGAAACTGTTGGCAGAAAGGCTAGGCTTATCCCAAATCCAAATTCGCTTTCTAGACAAGAGAGTTACGAATCCTTCTGATGTCGTCCTCGGCGCTGTGGGAAAGCATCGCCACCTGAGTGTTAGAGAAATCTATGATACATTAGTCGAGTGCGAGTTACCAGCTATCGCAGATCTAATGTAAATTAGAAAATGAATACCGGAAGAAGGCGAGTGACACAGCAAGAGGCAGAAGCAAGAAGCAAGGTAGCAGCCGAAGACTTATTTGCGAGAGATCTACGGAAAAATACACTTCCTGAGCTGGGAGTCGATAAATTATGCGTTGAGGCGCGTTAGCA